AATTGATGCTTTTGAACTGTGGTGTTGGAGAAGACTCTTGAGAGTCCCTTGGACTGCAAGGAGATCCAACCAGTCAATTCTAAAGGAGATCAGTCCTGGGTGTTCATTGGAAGGACTGATGCTGAAGCTGAAACTCCAGTACTTTGGCCACCTCATGCAAAGAGTTGACTCATTGGAAAAGACCCTGATGCTGGGAGGGATTGTGGGCAGGAGGAGAAGGGGACGACAGAGGATGAGATGGCTGGATGGCAACATCGACTCGATGGGATGAGTCTGAGTAAGCTCCAGGAGTTTGTGATGGACAGGGAGGCCTGGCATGCTGCGATTCATGGGGTCGCAGAGTCGGACACGACTGAGCGACTGAACTGAACCGACTGATGTAAACTACAGTATTTCCATGGAACATTTGTTTTGTATAACTATGGAGGATTTATATAAAGGACTAGATTTCACTGGCTTCCTCTGAGTAACGGAGGCTGGCAGCACTTGTAGAGGGCAGTTAAACGTCAAGTTGGATTACTAGCAATGCTGGATGAAAAGACTGTCTCCCAGGACTGATATCCAGATCCTAACCTTGCAAACATTCACTTGGCTTCCATGGAGGTCAATGTGAGCTGTGGACTTACAATCTTTCAAATGATGGTTGTTCAATTATGTGCTTCTCTCAGACATCTGCTCTCCATCATTGATAAATCCATGATGCTAACGGAGCAGAGTGATGATCCCCTGATAAACTATGTGATGACTGTTTTGTGAGGGTATATACATTCTTACACATGTACATCTGCTGAAACATTCCTGGGAATGGCACAAGATGACAGATGGAGGTCCATGTATCATGTCTAGATATTTAAAAGTCGTAAATCAATATTACAAACTGTTCAATGAACTATATTCTATTGTGTTTATCCTCCTACCTGATAAATATACCTTCAAAGTATCAAACACTGGTAAATACTGCTTATAGTGTTAGTATCAAATATTGTTTATATTACTCTTATGTGTCATCAAAATAACAGTGATGACTGAGCTTGATTATTAATGCACAAGTCTAAATATTAGGCTGTCAATCAGCAGCATTTACTAAGCAATAAAGCATCTATCACAAATTATGACATATTTATTCCAAGATATTATTTTGCACTGTTTCAATAAAATCACTAACATGTTGCTATAATCTATACCTTCACAGAATTTTTATTCTAAAGTTCAGTTCAGTCACTCAGTCATGTCTGACTCTTTGTGTTAGTATATCTAATTAATGATTTTTCTTAAATTACTATAATTTTTGGTTTTTTAAATTTCTTTCTGTTTGTACAATCTTCATTCTAATAAAGAAGTACCAACTGGGATTATTAATGAAAATTTTAAAGCAACACTTAGATTCAGAAATCATGCTCATATTCAAATATTATATTGGGTCATGTATGAAAACTATCATTATTTTATGAAATATTACAAAATATTCTAATTTTATTAATAAATAACCATCACAATATACTGCTTTCACCACTGCTGTAAACAATAGCTGAATCCATATGGTTAATTAAGAATTGCCCTGGCACTTCTCCCATGTTAACAGCTACACTTACATATATCTTCCCGACCCAGGGATCAAAGCTGGGTCTCCCACCTTGCAGGCAGATTCTCTACTGTCTGTCCTGCAGACATTTCAAAATGTTCTCCATGGGCAACCCTTGAGATACTATGCTATTTCACAAGTGTCTCAGGAACCACAAAATTGGAACATAAAGAAATGGACATTCAGTATTTATTGGGAAAAAATTCTCTATTTTTCAAGAATATATTGTGTACACATCTTCTGTAACAACAGCTTGAAGATTAATTCATTTTTCTTTTCTCTTACCTGTGCTCTCCCGTTGTTTTAGTAGTCACCGTGCACCAGAGATTATGGGCTTCCCTAGTGGCTCAGATGGTAAAGAATCTGTCTGCAATGCAGAAGACCCAGGTTTGATCCCTGGGTCTGGAAGATCCCCTGGAGAAGGGAATGGCAATACTCCAGTCTTCTTGCCTGGAAAATTCCACGGGCCGAGGAGTCTGGCGGGCTATAGTCCATGGGGTACCAAAGAGTCAGACCTGACTGAGTGACATACACACCAGAGAACATCAATTCTAGCAGCAAATAAATCTTGATTTGTTGTTGTTGTTGAGTTGCTAAGCTATGTCCGACTCTTTGCGATCCCATGGACTGCGGCATGCCAGGCTTCCCTGTCCTTCATTATCCCCCGAAGTTTGCTCCAATTCATGTCCATTGAGTCGGTGAGGCTATCTAATCATCTCATCCTCTGTCACCCACTTCTCCTCTTGCCCTCAATTTTTCCCAGCATCAGGGTCCTTTCCAGTGAGTCGGATCTTCGAATCAGGTGGCAAAGTACTGGAGCTTCAGCTTCAACATCTGTCCTTCCAATGAACATTCAAGGTTGATTTCCTTTAGGATTGACTGGTTTGATCTCCTTGCAGTCTAAGGGACTCTCAAGAATCTTCGCCAGTACCACAGTTCAAAAGCATCATTTCTTTGGTGCTCAGCCTTTTTTTATCGTCCAGCTTTCACATCCGTACATGACAACTGGAGTTTGAACATTCTTTGTCATTGCTCTTCTTTGGGATTGGAATGAAAACTGATCTTTTCCAGTTCTGTGGCCACTGCTGAGTTTTCCAAATTTGCTGGCATATTGAGTGCAGCACTTTAACAGCATCATTTTTTAGTATTTGAAATAGTTCAGCTGGAATTCCATCACCTCCACTAGCTTTGTTCATAGTAATGCTTCTTCAGTCTTGATTACTGATCCCTTTTTCAGTAAGCCAGCAACTCTTGAGGTGAACCTGTCATCCTGTTTTCTGCTGCATTTTGATACATCAGAAATGATAAAGTAAAAAATGATATGGTTAATAGACCACATCTAGTTTCAATCCAGCTGTCACGTGTCACCAGTTTGGAAGCTGCCAGTCTCTGAGAAGAGCCTTTATTTTCTGATTGGGTCACCTATTCAAATGCTGTCAGAGGGAGCCAGGGCAAGGCACTGGGCACAGCACTTCTTCTCAACCTCATCACTTACTGTGACCAAGCCTTCATCACGAAGTCACACTTGCTCCCTCTGGAGTGTTGCCAGTTGCTTGAGATGCTGTTCCCCCAGGGACTTATCATTTGGAGGCCAACACACAAATGACTAGATATGGGTGGGTTAGATGCAAGCAGTTGTGCTTTTCTGCAGAATTAAGTCATGCATTTGCTCTTCTCTTGAATGAGAGCCAATAGTAATGAGAGCATAGGGTGAACAAAGAGTAGGCTGAGCTTTCTCATTGTTTTTGGAAAAGATGCATCAAATTTCTAAAGGTGGCAAGAGTGTTTCTCTTCGGCTTTGTAAATATTTGTGTTTCATTCAAGTGTAAGCTACCTGATTAGAGGAAGGCCCACTTTTGAAATAAAAATAAAGCCATTTTGTTAGGGTTTGAGTCAGGAGAGGGAGGAAAAGCGGTCCAGGGTTCCTCATCCAGTGGCGTATTTCAAGCCTAAGAATTAGTTGGAATGTTTTTGTTTGTCAGAGTCAGTCTTTCCATCTGGCACAAAGGAGAGTTACTCTCTGAGTACTGAGTCATCACACATGGAGTTGAGAGTGAACTCAGGATTTAGTAAATGTACAAACAGGCAAACCCAATAGGTGAGCTTCTGTTGATTCAGGGTGTCCTGTTACTTGAACACAAACATTTGGCAGTGAACTCTTTGCCGTTAATCAGCTTATACATAACCGCAAGATTTTTGAAATCTTTTAAATTTAAATTTGTTTTTAATTGGAGGATAATTGCTTTATAATATTGTGTTAGTCTCTGACATATATCAACATAAATCAGCCATAGGTATACACATTCCTCCTCCCTCTTTTTTTTTCCCCCTCCTGCCTCTTGAACCTCCCTCCCACCTCCCACCCCATCCCACATCCTCTAGGTTGTCAGAGCACTGGTTTGAGCTCCTTTGAGCTCCCTGATTCACACAGCCAAAATTTCCACTGGCTATTTATTTTACATATGTGTGTTACTCACTCAGTTGTGTTTGACTCTTTGTGACCCCGTGGACCATAGCCTGCCAGACTCCGCTGTCTGTGGGATTTTCTCAACAAGAATACTGGAGTAAGTTGCCATTTCCTTCTGCAGGGGATCTTCTCAACCCAGGGATCAAACCCAGGTCTACCTGCATTGTCAGATGTTTCTTTACCTCCTGTCTGAGCCACCAGGGAAGCCCTCTCAGCATCACACTTTATCTTTTATCGTCTCATCTTATCTTCTTGCAAAGGAACATATATGAGTAGGGAGAGAGAGAAGAGGGATTCTTGAAGTCTAAAATAGGAGGGGAAATTCCTGAAGTTAAAACTTGCATTTCTTTAATAATCAGCAATATTGAGCATCTGCACCCTAGAAGACTCGCTTGTGAATGGCCCTGCCACCAGCTGCTCTGTGTGGGGGACTCATAGGAATTCTGCAGGTGTTATTGACTTTTCATCCATTGCATGTATGAGTCTACCTTCTGAGGAGGCTGCACAGAGACCTCCAGAGCCTAGCTTGGGGATAACAGTCACATTCACTTCCTGCATGAGGAGAGAATTGCCATAGGTCTCATCAGAGTCCCCCAGTGCAACACAAAGAGGATTTCCCATGGTCTCCTACCTCAAGAGGACAATTGGAGACCAGTGGTTCTGGTTCTGAAAATAACCAGGACAGAGGGAGAGAAAGAAGTCACACCACAGTGAGGTTATCTGGGAAGGTCAGAGAATGGGGAGGTACCGCCGGCCTGTGAAGAAAGATGTGGAATTTATGAAAACGGGAAGAGAGACACCATCGCAGGGAAAGAATGAGTCTTCGGGGCTACCTTTGGACACCAGGCAGCACCTCTCCTCCCAAGTCCCTGTTGGGAATGCACAGAACTGCAGTTTTCAAAGGCATGGTGTCAAGTGCAGCCGCTCTGCTCTGGAGCACTGGGTGGGAGACGGCGTGTTCCGGTTTCACAGGGATACGGGATGTGAGGATGGTGTTCTGGGCGGCAAGCTCACAGGGAGGCAGGAGCGAGCATCCCTGGGCAGGGAGAGCCCCCAACAGCAGGACTGGCACAGTGCCCCAGGCATCAGGCCAGCAACCATGTTGTCCAGGAAAGAATCCTCTCGCCTCTCTGGCAGGGTGCCTAGAGCTGAAAGCAGATGACATTCCGGGGGATGGGCTCCTTTCCTCCTTTGAAAGGATCACAGCGTCTTCAAACTTGTTCCTTCATGTACATGATGGGGAAGATCCTTAAATGTGATTAGACCCATGTTTTGTCAAATAAGGTCTTCCCAGGTGGCTCAGTGGATAAAGAATCTGCCTGCAATGCGGGAGACCTGGGTTCAATCCCTGGGTCGGGAAGATCCCTTGGAAAAGGAAATGGCAACCCACTCCAGTATTTTTGCCTGGAAAATCTCATAGACAGAGGAAACTGGTGGGCTACAGTCCATGGGGTCACAAAGCAGACATGACTTAGCGACTAAACTACCACCATGGATGATCCATTCCTTGATATAAGTGATATGGTGAACCCNTTTAGAACCAAATGTTTAAGGGTCTGTGATATAAGAAAAGACACATGAAGTGACCTGGCATAGATTTCTGCTTGGGACCAAACTAGTGTTCTCCAAAAATTGTCCTTAAACTCTTAGTCAATAGAATTATTTGATATAGAGGTTATTAACTTCAAAAAATGCAGCATAGGTTTGTGATACTTGTTAGTTTATATTGTTTTTCACTTTCAGGGTTTCTCTTTTTCTTTTCATGCTTTAAAGTTTCTCTTAAAAAAATCGATTCTAGTTCACCTCATACCTGCACTTCATGAAAACAAAGCAAACAAAATTTAGTTGGTTAGAGTCTCTCTGTTTTGGTATTCTGTAAACCACTGAGTATAGAAAAGTTATATTCTGAAGCTGGAAATCCAATTGTCAAAACAAGGCATTTCAAGTGTGTCTTGGAAAAAAAACTTCCACAACTCAGGAAGCATTTTACATTAAAATATGAGAGTAAATTACTAAACATTTTCAAATTTCAATTTATCATATTCAATCATTTCAATTTATATCTCCAAAAAATAAAAATGTAAATAAGCAAATTAGAAATGCCAAAAGTTGGAATACAATGTATATACCCAGTGAACAAAGACTGACCACTGGAGACTGCAGAAGGACAATCTTGTGTAGGGCTTCTAAGTTCAAGGACAGATTTAGAAAATCAGTTGAGATCTAAGCATATTTACAAATTAGACACTTCAGGTGCACCTGCTAAGCCTGAAGTACCGATATGAATAGACATTAAGAACACCTAGATACTAGCTCTCAACATCCAAGATGTTTCAACTCCTCCTAAGAGACATTAGGATTCCAGGCAGGGAACCCAGAGCATAAGAAAATCTTTTATTTAAAGAGTGAGGCAATCTTGGGAAATCGATGCTGAAAAGGGCTGTGTGCTCACCAAATCCTGTGGTCCTAACAAGGCTAGGCATGGCAGCCTCGCCAGAGGCTTTCTTTGCAGACCAACAGTTTGCCCACCCTCCTGGAGGAAGAAGAACATTCACTTTGCCTGCTTCTCCCGTCCCTGTTCTCTCTAAGGGCCTTACACAGACTGCCATTCCTGGGGGGCTTTGCTTATGGGAATTGAAAGCCCGGTTGAACTGAAGTGTATCATTCCTGAAAACTTGCAAACATTTTAAAAGAGGCTTTCCACTGAGGTGGATGAAGCTAGTGCCTGTTACAGAAAATGAAGTAAGTCAGAAAGAGAAAAACAAATATTGTATATATTAATGCATATATATGGAACCTAGAAAAATGGTACTGATGAATCTATTCACAGGGCAGCAGTGGAGATGCAGACATAGAGAACAGACTGTTAGACACAGTAGGTGAAGGAGTTCAGTTCAGTGGCTCAGTTGTGTCTGATTCTTTGTGGCCCCATGAATCGCAGCATGCCAGGCCTCCCGGTCCATCACCAACTCACGGAATTTACCCAAACTCATGTCCATCGAGTCGNACCAAATAATAATGAATTTCATTCTCAGGGAACATTTAAGTTCAGTACTGAGCAAACTTTTTTTTTTAAAGCAAATGCCCAGTATCCTCTAACTGTTGTTTTTCTGTTTTATTCTTTAATATGATATTTATTTTGAGAAAACTGTAGACTGACATGAAGTTGTAAGAAATAATTGGGGGGGGGATATATCCTTGTACCCTTTGTCCTGCTTCCCCCAAGGGTAACATCTTGCAAAACTTGAATTCAAGGTCAAAACCAGGATATTAACATTGACACAGTCAAGAACTTTTCCACCACCTCAAGGAGCATTGTGTGACCCTTTTATAAACACTCACTTCTTTTCACTGATTCTTCTTCCCTGGCGGCTCAGATGGTAAAGAATCTGCCTGCAATGCAGGAGACCCAGGTTCAGTCCGTGGATTGGGAAGATCCCCTGGAGAAAGAGATGGCAACTCACTCTATTATTCCTGTCTGAAGAATCCCATGAAGAGAAGAGCCTGGCAGGCTAGGGTCCATGGGGTCACAAAGAGTCGGACACGAGTGAGCGATCAACATTTTAATTCAGACCCTGACAATACCTATCTGTTCTCTTCAAGAATGTTGTAAAAGTGGAATCATACAATATGTAACCTCTTGGATTAGCTTTTTCTTCACTGAGTGTAGTTCCCTGGAGATTCATCCAGGTTGCTCCATGTATCAGTTGTTTATTCTTTCTCACTGATGAGTTATATTCCGTAGTAAGGGTATTCCCCACTGTTTTTCTACCATTCACTGCTGAAAGACGCTTGGGTAGTTTGACAGTTTTTACTATTATGAATAAAGTTGCTATAAACATTTATATACATTTGTATGAACATAAATTTTAATTTCTCAGAAATAAGTCTCTAAGAGGGCAATTGTTGGATAATACAGAAGTTGTATGTTTAGTTTTATAAAAAACTGCCAAATTATTTTTGAGCGTGGTCGAGCCATTTTACATTCCCACCTGTAATGAATGACTTATCTTGTTCCTTTCCATCCTCACCAGCATGTGGCAACATCGCTATTTTTCACTTTAGTTATTCTAATAGGTGTTTAGTGATATCTCATTGTGGTTTTAATTTGCATTTCCCTAATGACTAATGATAATGAACACCTTTTCATGTGCTTATTTGCCATCTGTGTATAACGTTTTTGCCCAACTTCTAATTGGATTGTTTATTTTTATATGCATACTGTTGAGTATGAAAAGTTTTTTATATTAATATATTCTAAATATTAGATTTTATATCAATATATTCTAGATACTAGATTTTTTGTCAGATATGTGGTTTATAAATACTTCCTCCCAGATCATAGCTTTTTTTTGCATCACCTTAACAGTCTTTTTTGGAACAAAAGTTTTTAATCGTGATATAATCTTCTTTATGGATGATGATTTTGGTGTCAAACCACACTTTTGGTGCCAAATCTAGGAAACTTTTGCCTAGCCATAGACCTTGAAGAGTTCCCATGTTTCTCTAAATATTTCCTATGTTTATTCTAAAAGTCTTATCATTTTACATTTAAGAATGGAATCCATTTTGCGTTAATTTGTATATAAAGTATAAAATCTCACACAGGGCATTTTTGTCTATAAAGTGTCCAATTGTTCCAACACCTTTGTTAAAAAAGGCTATCTTTTCTCCATAAATTGCTTTTGTACTTTTTTCAAAAATTAGCTGGGCATGTTTGTGTGGATCTGTTTCTAGGATCTGTACTCTGTTTCACTGATCTGTGTTTACCCCTTGCCAATGCCCCAGGTTTGATTAGTATAGCTATGTAACAGTCCTGAAATTGGCTAGGCTGATTCCTGTCACTTTATTTTCTTATCAAAAATGTTTTAGCTATTTTTGTTCCTTTACTTTTCCATACGAATTTTAGGACTATCTTGTCTATGTCTACAAATAATCTTGCTGGGATTTTTTTACAGACATTTTGTTAAAACTATATGCTAATTTTGAGAGAACTGACAAGCCATCGTCACTTCAAGATAACCATACCCCTCCCTAACACACACATGATCTCTCCATCTTGGCTCATGAGTGGTGGTCTTCCTTGAACCTACTATGTGCTAATGGCATGGACAAAGAATCGGCAACAGTATATTAAGTGATTTGTGCATCAAACTGTAAATAATTCAGTTGAGCTAGAGCAAAGAGTTGTGTGAATGGGTGGTTGAAAATAAGGGGTAAAGGCTATATATGTGCAAAAGAGGATTACTGAGATCAGAACAAGCACTTGTTCACTTACAGGGAATGTTTGCTTGTCAGTCACTGGATTTCAAATTCTTAGAATTTTGTCTTCTAAACTAACTTTCAAAAAAGATAATTAAAATGCTCAATAGACTAAATACTAATTATCTGTCTATTCCTGGTAGCTTGTAGATGGGTAGATTTATGAATCATATGCATTCAGTTTATGTTCAAGTGGTTTTAGTTAATGTTTTATTCCATTTTTATGATTTCATACTCCACAAAATTATTAAGCCTTTGATTGAAGAGCATTAAATGAAGATTGTATTTTATAAGCTACCAGTTTGCTTACTATAACAGACAAATTCAAAATAATAGTGACATAGATAAGACAGAGGTTTATTTCTCTCTCATACACAAGAAAGATAAGTGGTACAGGGCTACTATTGGGGTTGGGCATCATCAGGGATCCAGGCTTCTTACACCTGTGACTTTGACATCCTTGTCCCGCATCCTCTATCTAGTGTTGAATATGAAGGCTCCATCCTCCACCAGCATACCAGGATTCCAACTAGCACAAGGGGAAAGAGAGAAAGGTCAGAGTGTATTCTTTTCACTTAGGAGAATGAACCAGATACTGTGTCAAGTTAGTCATAGAGTCATAGAGTCACCCTCAACTGCTGCTGCTAAGGATACTGCAAAATGGAGCTTTTGACTGACTATCCATGTATCCATATAAGGCTTCCCTTATAGCTCATTTGGTAAAGAGCCTGTCTGCAATGCAGGATACCCGGGTTGAATTCCTGGGTCAGGAATATCCCCTGAAGAAGGCAATGGCAACCCACTCCAGTGTTCTTGCCTAGAGAATC